ATGACTCCGGTGTTGGATACCATTCGAGAGGCCCAGGCAGAGGCTGTGAGACCGGAGAACCGCAAGAGGGAGCGGGTGATTGGACAGGTGTCCGAGTTTGTGACGGATAGCCGAGGGCTTATGACCTTTCGTGGTCGGATTTGGGTGTCGTATACAGGCGGGGCACGTAGCACTCTGTTGGAGGAGGCACATAGATCGAGATTTTTGATCCATCCCGGGGCCAATAAGATGTATTTGGAGCTGAAGAGAGACTACTGGTGGCCCTGTATGAAGAGGGATGTTGCATGGGTAGTAGAGAGGTGTGTTTGACCTGTCGCCGGGTTAAGGCCGAGCACCAACGTCCGCATGGCAAGTTGCATCCATTAGAGGTTCCCCAGTGGAAGTGGGAACAGATTTCTATGGATTTTATCACCAAATTGTCGAGGACCGCGAGGGATGTTGATGCAATTTGGGTGATTGTGGACCGGCTGACGAAGAGCGCTCACTTCCTTGCTATCAGTGAGAGCTCTTCTGCGGAGAGGCTGGCAGAGACATATGTGAGAGAGGTTGTGTCGCGGCATGGAGTGCCGATCTCGATTGTGTCAGACCGAGATGTACGTTTCACTTCCAGGTTCTGGAAGAAGTTCCATGAGGAGTTGGGTACGAGATTGCACTTCAGTATTGCTTACCACCCATAGACGGATGGCCAGAGTGAGCGAACGATACAGACACTCGAGGACATGCTTCGGGCATGTGTTATGGACTTCGGTGGAAGTTGGGACACATACCTACCTGTGGCTGAGTTTTCTTACAACAACAGCCACCATTCGAGTATTGGTATGCCTCCCTTTGAGCTTCTATATGGGAGGAGGTGTCGGACTCCCATCTGTTGGGGAGAGGTAGGGCAGTGAGTGATGGGTAGCACTGAGATAGTGCTTAAGACGACTAAGCAGATACAGCAGGTCAGACAGAGGTTACTGACAGCCCAGAGCTGCCAAAAGAGTTATGCAGATAGGCGGCGATTCGAGCTAGAGTTCCAGGTTGGAGATATTGGACTCCTGAAGGTATCTCCTTGGAAATGAGTGATCCGATTCAGGAAGAGGGGCAAGCTGGGGCCCCGATACATTGGTCCGTTCAGGGTGACCACGAGAGTGGGTAAGGTAGCATACCGTCTGGAGCTACCCGAGGAGTTGAGTCAGATCCATGATACCTTCCACGTATCCCAGTTGAGGAAGTGTATAGCCGATGAGACGGTGGTAGTGCCGCTAGAGGATATTTAGGTGGATGCGAGTCTGAATTACATTGAGAGGCCGATCGCGATCTTGGATCGGAAGATCAAGGTTCTGAGGAACAAATAGGTGCCCCTGGTTAAGGTCCAGTGGCAACATCGGAGAGGGTCCGAGCTGACTTGGGAGCCGGAGACGAAGATGCGAGAGCAGCATCCAGAGTTGTTTGCAGAGTGAGACTTCGAGGGCGAAGTCTGATTCTAGTGGGGGAGAATTGTAACATCCGGATTTCCAGGTATCATAATTTAAGTATTTATTTTGAGTTAAGAAGAAGAAACTCGACGAGTTGACGCCTAAACTCGTCGAGTAGGATCGCGACTGATGACTCGGATTAATGAATGAACTCGACGAGTCGGCGAGTCGACTCGACGAGTCTGCGTTGTGGACAGAAACCCTAAATCTTTGGGCATGTGCCCTATTTAAGGGTCCTTATGGCCCTCATTGCGGCCACACACCCCTTGAGAAACCCTACGAATCAAGAGCATAGAGAGTGAGGGAAAGAGCTAATTACATCACCTTTGGTGCATTCTTGCAAGAAGGAAGGAGGGGATTCTAGCTAGGCTGATTGAGGAGCTCAGACCTACTATTACTTCATCAAAGGTTGCTGTTTGAGGTATGAATCCATGCCTATTTTCGTGTATATAGTAGATCTCATGAATCTAGGGTTTCTTTGCCCCTTCTTTAGTTGGAATATGGGGCATGTGGAGTCCCGTTGAGGAATAGACTTTAGATCTGGACCTTGAGAGGTCCATAGAGTCCCAATCATCCAGCTTTATGCAGTCCCATAAGAGTTTTGAGTCTAGGTGTCCATTTTAAGAGTTATTTTGATCAAATAGAGCCATATGTGCGACGCATGAACATAAAGTTCAGACCTTTACGTGACTTTTGGGTGTTAGAAGGTCAGATCTATAAGTTAGAGAAATAGATCTGACCTCAGAAGGTTGTTTGAGCATTCTCATGGAGGAAACTCGTCGAGTCCATGAGAGGACTCGACGAGTCGGATTGTGTTGCACCACGATTCGTGATCAGTGGTAACCTGTCGATAGAAAGGTTAACTCGACGAGTGGAGTGAGGCCTTAGGAGGATTCGGAGGACACACATGAACTCACCGAGTTACCCGAGTGTACTCGACGAGTCTGGTCAAAGTTGGACCGTTGACTGGAGTTGACTTTCGTTTACTTTTAGGGTTTGGTCAACATTTGGACATTTGGACCATTGGAGGGGTAAAATGGTATTTTCCCCTTCTGAGGGATCATAGAAAAGGAATAGTCTAGCCTATGAGAATCGTTGTTAATTAGAGGTAAATTACTTTATGTGATTAGGCGGAGGCTAGATCAGTAATTCGAGTTCGAGACTTTCAGAGGTTACCCGAGGTGAGTCTTCTCACTATACATTACCTAGAGTGGTATTTACGTGCAGACCGGAGGGTCTTATGTGTTATGTGTATGATTGAGATTATGTGCATTGTGTTATGTGTATGCTATGTGTTATATAGACCGGACCGGAGGGTCCAATGACTTACGAGGCCAGAGAGTCCTCGATTAGACCAGACCGGAGGGTCCAACGATTTAGACCGAGCCGAAAGGCCCAACGAGCTAGACCGGACCGGAGGGTCCAACGAGCTACGGGACTCGAGGGACCCGCTGAGACACATCGACCGGAGGGTCGTACCGAGTTATAGCCTCGAGTGGCGTATGTGCGGTATGCGGTATTTTGGGGAACTCACTAAGCATTTATGCTTACCGTTTTATGTGATATGTGTTTCAGGTACCAGCGAGGATCGCGGGAAGGCGTCGGCATGATTTGTACACACTGGCAGAGGATTATGTTTTTGAAATTCTGGGATATGTTTTATTGTGATGACATTTGATACACATGAGATTTTGAGAATATTATATGAGTTTTATTATGTTTGAAAATTGAAAATTTGTTTTAAAATTTACGTCGTTACACCTTCAACGCTGACCCTCAAACTGCCCAAGAAAACTACCGCAACACCATTGACGTAACAGCAAAATGATATGAATTAAAAACATAAGTTTTGGTTTTCCACAATCTTTATACCAAAATTGATGACGCACGTCCGAATTAAGATGAGGAAGCCATCCTGGACGCGGTGAAAGCGGAATACATATCCATTAGTGACGGGTTAGAATTCGAGTTTAAAGGCCCTTGGAATCTCTTAAAAGATCTCCCGTATTTTTAATTTGTATTGCGTTTGTAGAAATGATATTTTAATGTAGTTTGTTTTTATTAGGTTATTTATATGCACCGGTTTGTATTACGTTATTTATATGTATTTGGTTTGTATTAGGTTATTTACGAAATCAGTTGAGTTAACTTCTATTTTATTCCATAGAACATAAAATACAGAACAATACAAATAAATGGAAAACATACATCAATAGCAAACATATTACATAAAACATTTCACATAAAAAACCATTCTAAATGAAATACTGGTGGTTCTTAACCAGATTCCAAGCGTCCACAAAAAAATACAAATACATGGAAAACATACATCAGTAACAAATATATTACATAAAACATTTCACCTAAAAAACTCTTCTACATGAAATACTGGTGGTTCTTAACCAGATTCCAAGCGTCCACAAAGTCTTTTCCCTTATGCTCGAAAATGTAATTATCTAAAATCATTTCTACAAGAGCTTCCTCGTTTGAGTAATTATCTAAAATCATTTCTTTAAGAATATCTACTTGTATCCGATAATCTCCTTGTCAAAATGAGAGGTTGAACAAACATGTTATGCGGGTCCATTCATCACCTCCACGATAATCAGGGGTAACCATTGTTGTTACACCTTCAAAAATGTTCAACCAACATCGTATTATAACCATCACATCTCTTGTCGTCCATGGATGTGGAGTATCGGACGACGAAGTTGCATTCGTAGAAGTTGGTGCATTGGAGGCCATTTATATATTTTTCAATACCGTGGTGAGATGCTACAGAGATGTACACCGATCCGCCTAGGTGTATATTGATCCGCTGATAATAGTTTTTGTGAATTCTCAAATAGTTATGTGGACTAATATTAAACACAAATTATTTTTAACTTTTTTTTCAAATTTTTTACATAATTAGTGTATTTAAAAAAATTAATATTAATAAACAAAAATAAACGCATAAAAACGACGAAAAAAAAAATTAAAGAAAATCATAAAACAAAGATTCCGCATTGCTCTGCGGATTTTCAGAAATTTGTTTGTTTTTTGTTTGGTTATTTTCTTCGCACCGCCCTTTTTGATTACTTGTGGAGAGAAAAGGAAATAGAAACAGACTATGCAATAATTGATAGTACGGTACGTTAACTGGATAAACCATAGCACAAGAAAGATCTACAACACACAACAGACAAAATAACCAAACACGTGTACCGATACTCTCGAAACTTTTTCGCCACATCCAACAACCACTTATTTTTTGAAATTAAAATCGGATCACCATGTTTCAATCGACTATCAACGAAGATTCAAGAAACTAAGAGACTAATTGAAGATTAAAAGCACTAAATCTAATCTTATTTCATACGGATCACTTACTAGTTAATCTCATCAACATAAATCGCTGATGAAATCAACGAAATACAGATAAAATCTCACACAATCAGTACTAAAAACACCTCTAGATGACTAAAAGTAACACGAAACGATACGATCAAAAGAAAATTGTAAACGATATACTAACACTCGTAGGATCAAGATACAGATCTATCAGAGTTGACCACAATCGGTGATAACTACAGGTTTGGAGGTGCTTCCGCTGCCAGATCCGACCTTCTCGATCGCCTTAACGACGTCCATTCCTTCAACAACTTTCCCGAACACGACGTGCTTGCCATCGAGCCACTCCGTCTTAGCTGTGCAAATGAAGAACTGAGAGCCGTTGGTGTTCGGACCAGCGTTAGCCATGGACAGGATTCCAGGTCCGGTGTGCTTCTTAATGAAATTCTCATCGGCGAACTTGTTGCCGTAGATCGATTCACCACCGGTTCCGTTTCCTCTGGTGAAATCTCCTCCTTGACACATGAAATTCGGGATCACACGGTGGAAGGACGATCCCTTGAAATGCAGAGGCTTCCCGGAAGTACCTTTTCCCTTCTCACCGGTGCATAGCGCACGGAAATTCTCAGCTGTTCTCGGAGTGGTGTCGGCGAACAGCTCCATCACGATCTTTCCGACCGGTGATCCGCCGATGCTCATGTCGAAGAAAACCTTAGGGTTTGCCATTGCTGAATCGGAAATTTTCAAACGGGTAAAACAAAGCTTAGGCCTGATGATCGGGTCGTATCGGATTATATAGCGGTGGGTGACGGTCGATCATCTATGTGAGCGTGATCTCAACCGTTAGAAGTGACACGTGTTGTCATCCTACGGTGTTGTTGATGTAACTAGAGTCGGGTTAACTTGACAATAGTTCGATGTAGATTTACATGTCACGAACGGATCACGTGGTATATGCTTTGTAAATATTCCTAACTTTTATTTTATTTAAGTAAAAGAATTAGATATGTATAGATAAATATGGAATTGATCCTATTTCAAAAAGAGTTATCCACTAATTGACGGTATAATATTTTTAGGCAAAAAAATTGATTGCAAAATAGCGATATATCAGGCTTAAGTTTGAAAATTTGTCACAAATAAAATTTATTTTTTGTGAGATTATTTTTATAACCCATTGGTAATCTAAATAGCTCTAGAGCATTTTCGCTAATAATTCGTGATACAAAAATCATATAGCAGATGTTGAGGACGAGGTAGAAAAAATTGCAACAACATAAACGAAACATATATCGATGAAACTTTCATATAAACGATATAATATATTATATATATATATATATATTATATCTATATATATATCTATATATATAGATATATATATATATATATATATATATATATATATATATATATATATATATATATATAGGGGATAGGGAATATACATTACAGCCCCACCTAAGCTTAGGTACTAAACCTCTAAAATATGTCGTTTTAACATGCTAAATATGCCCGGTTTGGTTTCACTTGGTAAATATATTATCTTCCATAACATTTCTTTCTTTCATTATCGTTTTACCATCTCTGTTTTCTTTCTTCAATAATCGTTTATTACTTCACCCAAGTGAACATTACTAAACCCTAAACCCTAAATTTAAACCCTAAACCCTAAACCTAAACCCTAAACCCTAAATCTAAACCCTAAACCTTAAACCCTAAACCCTAACCCTAAACCCTAAATCTAAACCTTAAACCTAAACCCTAAACCCTATTGTGTCGATCTTGAATTTACATCTTGAAGTATTAATCGTGAATCCATTAACCGTAATCTTTATATAGTAAAACAATGTATTTTCAAGAGGTTTAGTACCTAAGCTTAGGTGGGGCTGTAATGTATATTCCCTTTTCCTATATATATATATATATATATATATATATATATATATATATATATATATATATAGGGTTGAGATCGGTTGAGAACTCATAGTTTCCCGAGAACCCGAGAACTAAAAGTGAACCGTTGGATTGGATTTATTAATTTAAGATCATAAGGGTAAGATTGTCTTTTACGTTTTATTTGAGTATTACAACATCTGTACGATTTTCTTTCCAAAATATCATCTTCTAACCATCAAAATTATCAAAATCAACGACGAAATCATAACAAATCTACATCGATCGAATAGTTCTTATCTTAAATTCATAATTTCTTTCTTTATTGATTTCTTTCGTCATTGATTTCGTCATTGAAATAGTTGTTAACGCAAATTCGAGATCGATTACAAAGCAAAATTCATACGATTCGTCATTGATTTCTTTCGAGGTTAGCATGTTATCTTAAATTTATACGATTCATTCATTACGATTATATCAATGAAGGAAAAACAGATTGCCGAATATTTTACGTTTTATTTGTATGTTTAACTACAGTAGCATTCCGATTTCTAATACGTTGTTTTATTGAATGTAAATTGAGATTTTTTTTAGCAATTTAATGGATTCAGGAAAAATAATTGAAGATCTGCAAAGCGAGATAAATTTTTTAGCAGGTAATGATTCATAATTTTTTTAATAATAAACGTATGGTATTGATATTCATATTAAAATCACATATGAATAATATATGAATCACATATTCATATATGAATCATATATCAATCATATGTTATTCATAGTTGATTCATTAAAAATTCATGTGATTTATACCTGAATTAGAAGATATATCAGTTGTCTCCAGTTCAGGCCAAGCTACACTTTCAATTTCTAGGAACCTGTTCTTGACAAAGATGTAGTACATGTGATTTACTCATGATTTACAAGTGAATTACATTTGATTTACATGTGAATTACATATAAATAACATGTAATACATATGTGATTTACATGTTATTTACATGTGAATTATGTAATTCATATGTGTATTGTATGTGATTTACATGTAAATCACATGTAATTCACATATGAATTCACATGTAATACACTTGTGATTTACATGTGAATCACATGTGATTTATATGTGAATTACATGTGATTCAAGTGTAAATCACATATAATTCATTTCTGAGTTACATGTAAATAACATGTAATTCACATATGAATTTACATGTAATACACTTGTGATTTACGTGTGTATCACATATTCACATGTAATTAACATATAAATCACATGTAATTAACATATGAATTTACATGTAATATACTTGTGATTTACATGTGAATCACATGTGATTCATATCATAATTACATGTGATTCACATGTAAATCACATATAATTTATTTGTGAGTTACATGTAAATCACATGTAATTCATATCTTAATTACATGTGATTCACATGTAAATCACATGTGATTTATATGTTAATTACATGTGATTCATATGTGATTTACATGTTATTTACATGTGAATTATGTAATTCATATATGTATTGTATGTGATTTACATGTAAATCACATGTAATTCACATGTAAATCACATGTAATTCACATATGAATTCACATGTAATACACTTGTGATTTACATGTGATTTATATGTGAATTACATGTGATTCACATGTAAATCACATATAATTCATTTGTGAATTACATGTAAATCACATGTAATTCACATATGAATTCACATGTAATACACTTGTGATTTACATGTGTATCATATATTCACATGTAATTAACATATAAATCACATGTAATTAACATATGAATTTACATGTAATACACTTGGAATTTACATGTGAATCACATGTGATTCATATCTTAATTACATGTGATTCACATGTAAATCACATATAATTCATTTGTGAATTACATGTAAATCACATGTAATTCATATCTTAATTACATGTGATTCATATCTTAATTACTTGTGATTTACATGTGAATCACATGTGATTCATATCTTAATTACATGTGATTCACATGTAAATCACATATAATTCATTTGTGAATTACATACGAATACTCTAAATATGAAAGGTAATTTAGCATTTTTACATAATTTTTGTGTATGTTTTTGGTTTTCTGAAAAGGAAGTAATAACCCTAATTAGTATTACTTATTCTAATACAAGAAATTGGTATAAGCCTTTCATTGAAACTTTCTTTGATTTTACTTTCGGTAGAAGAGATGATGTTGACATTGATATGATGGAACCTTAAGTTCTTTCATGGTTTTTCAGCTTCTTATGATATCTCCGAAATCAACAAACCAAACATGTCATAAATTTTTTTCATTTAGAAAATAAAAAATTTATCATCAATAACAAGAATTGATGATAAATTTATCATCAATAACATGTCATAACAAGAATTGCACTATCGATACCTGCTTCAAAGGCACCAAGTGATGCATCAATAACAAGAATTGCAGCATCTGCTTGTGTTGACCCTGATATCATGTTTGGGACAAAAAATTTATGCACTGGTGAATCCAACACCACAACGTCGTATTTGTTTGATTTGAAAAAGGAAACTCCAACTGTCATTGTTATCCCTCTTTCTCGTTCTTCAGCACTCTCAACTAATGCCCATGCATAAGTAAACGAACCTTTCCTCTGATTTTTTAAATAAAAAATTAGCACTCTCAACATTCTTTCATACCTGTAACTTAGCCTCATTTTCAAATATATGCATTTGTTTCTGAGATATTTGACCCAAAAGGTGTAGAAGCCTTCCTGAAAGTGTTGACTTTCCAGAATCTAAATTAAAAATTTTGATTTGGAATACATACAATTTATATATGAATGACATGCGATTCAAGAGTAATTTACATGTGATTCACTTTGTAAATCATATATGAATTAAATATGATTCACATGTAAATCTCATATGAATTACATGTGATTAACATGTAAATAAGATGCAATTTATATACGAATGACATGTGATTCACTTGTAAATTACATACAAGTTACATGTGATTCACACGTAAATCACATATGAAATAACATTTGAATAGGATTCGACAAATTAAGTCAAATAATCAACTTTTCCATGTAGTAATAATTTATAATGTTTTGTTTGTTTAAATGCTTTTTGTTTATTATAGAATGCCATTAATAAGGTATTATCTAATTATGTGAAAAAATGAAAATAAATAATAATAAATACTTTTCATTTAATCACATGTGAATATGTACTTATATGAAAATTTGTTATTGAAATTTAGTAAATACAATCTTATGTGTATAATCATTTTAATCTATAACTTGTATAATAATTTCTTTGTTTTTAATTTAAAAAATATACTATTAATTTCATTATTACAAATAATATTTTTTGCAGGTTCTTTGAATGCTAATGTTGGAAAGAGAAAGAGAAGTGATATTGATAAACAAAACTGTTTTTTTGAAAAAGAACAGCCCAAAATAAAAAATAAAAAAAGTTATCCAAAGATAGTTTTGGCTGAAAAAGAAAATCATTTCAAAACAATACGTAACAGGTCATCACCAAAATCATTGCTTAAAATTATAAAGAAACTTAGTTTGGAGCAGAAGAATTGTGTTAAAGAAATGGGATTTAAAAGCTTATTGAAATTGGAAGTTGATGAGTTGCCTTCATCACTTGGTTTATTTGTTGTTAAAAGCTTTGATATAGATAAAAAGGTACTAAAAGTTATAAATGGAGAAATTAAGGTTGACAGACAAAGTGTGAATGAGATGCTTGGAATTCCAATGGGTGACCAAAAAGTGGAAGACCTTAGTTTTCGACCTGCAGAAGATGAATGTTACAGCAAATGGATATCCCAATTTCATAAAGCAGAAAACATTAGATTGAATGATATCACAAATGTAATTATATCATCAAAAGAGGCTGATTTCAACTTCAAACTCAATTTCATTGTTCTGTTTTGCAACACTCTAGTTGAAAGTACACCTACAGGTAAAATCAATCAGAATATATTAAAGAAGATTTCAAGCACCACAGATTTTTCAAAAATTGACTGGTGTAGTTACACAATTGACTCATTGATTAATAACACAAGGTCATATGTATCACACAATTGTAAAGGGTACTTCTATGGTCCACTGACATACTTGCTGGTAATATTTCTTTATTTAAAATATTATTTTAAATTTTTTACTATAACATACAAATTTGACTATGTTCTTTTTATGCAGCTATTATATGTTGACCATGTTCAATTCGATGAAGAAAATGATTTACGATTACGTCCAGCAATAAAAAATTGGGATTCTATCAAAATGAAAAAACGAGAAACTAGCGAAATGAAAGTTGGAATGTTTGGAACAGGAAAAATTCTTGAAAGATTGCAAAATATAACAGATAAAAAGATGAGGTAAAAATCTATATAAACTTTATTAAAAATAGTTATATATAAATAAATATTAATGCAAAATATACATACTTATATATATTTGTTTTCATAATCAGATGTGAAATAATATACATATATGTACATGTTTTTATTTTACGCAGGATTATTTGTCAACTTTGACAAAAACTTTTGAAAGTCTTTGTAAGAAGAAAAGTAAGTTAATATCAACATTTGAAGAAGCAAAAGAAAATTTTCAGCAAAATGAAGATTTAAAAAAATGGGAAAAAGTGTTATATGAATTTGATTTAGTTAAAAAAGATAGAGTGCAGCACAAATTTTACAATATAGATGGAGAACCTGACAATTTGGAAATTACTCAAAAAGTTCAAACAACTTTGGAAAATCAACATCTTCCAAAAGCATGTGTTCAAGTCGAGCATATCATTGAAGGAGAAAGACTTCGTAATCTTCTGAATGATTTGAGACAATCAAATTACAGTGAGCAAGATATCATTTCGATTCTTAATATCACCAAAGAACAACTTAAGGAATTTGATGACTTCTTTCATAAATCAAAAGAAATCCCAAAGGTATATTTTTAAAGTTCTGAGTAAATTTTAAATTCTAATAACATAGCTAACATCTATTTTTTTTCTATACTAGAATATGTCAGAAAAAGGAATTGGTGAAGAAGAAAAGAAAGAAGATAATGAGGTCGATAACAAAGAGCATGTGGATTACACAGATGAGGTCCATAAGACAGAGGAAGGAAGATCTAGAAAAACTTCTAAAATGATCAGAACTAGAAAAACTTCTAAAAGGATCACTGAGAACAAGTTAAAAAAAATTGTAATAGAAAAAAAAGGAATAGGAATGTCTAAAAACAAAGCTCTTGTTATCCAGTAGAATGTTAGGATTTAATTAATTATATGGGCTATTTTGGCAAAAAATTTAGTATGCACTTTGTTTTGTAAAACACTATAATGACTAAGTTTAACAACTTTTGGTAAATTATGCAAGTTTTGCTAATATTTATTGTGTTATCATCATCTTGAAAATTGCTAATACATTTGTGATTTACATGTGAATTACAAAAGTGAAATATATGTGAATTACATGTAATTTACATGTGAATTACACGTGATTTACATGTAAATTCACAAGTAATTCACTTGTAATTTACATGTGAATCACATGTAATTCATATGTGATTCACTTGTGATTTACATGTGAATCATATCTTATTACATGTGAATTACATCTTATTTACATGTGATTCATATGTGATTCACTTGTGAGTTACATGTAATTCATATGTGAATTACATCTTATTTACATGTGAATCACATGTAATTCATATGTAAATCACAAGTGAATCACATATGAATTACATGTGATTCACATGTAAATTACAAGTGAATTACTTGTGAATTTACATGTAAATCACATGTAATTCATATGTGAATTACATCTTATTTAACCACCAAACTACCACCATCAAATGTTCATATACATATATAATTCTCATCTAATAAAACATATACAATATAATAAAACCATCAACATACCTATACAATCTCATTTAGACAATCTTCTCTCTGAAACACCTCACAAGCTTTTGTCCTAATGTTTATGAAACCTGAATCAAATTTCTCATATAATGATTTCAATAATCAAAATACATATTAACAAACCTGAAGATCATAGCAATTTTAGTAAAGATCATAGCCAATGAATCTGAACATCGCATTTACTCATATGATTAATGAAAACATAAACGATAAAAAGAACATAATCAATTGCAATTGCTAAAAGCTGAAATGAAACCTGAAGATTGCCTTTAATCATAGTGAAAACATTAGTAAATAGATCATTAACATACAATGGTTATGCATTTACAAAAGGATAAAGGTAAACAATAGCTAAACATCACAATAACATCAACAAGAAAAATATTTGTTGGGTTTGGTTTTACATAAAAACAATTTCCAACATCATTCTACACACTACCATTACAATGTCAACAACACTCACACAACCGTAAAAACAAACTTAAAAAACTTTTACTACTACTACTACTTTCTTTCTTCACATCATATGCCAGACGCTCAATTCCTCAATTCCTGTTTGCATAATATCCATGTAAGTTGAGAAGACAAGACTATTGCTCGAGTAAATGGTGTCTAACCAACAACTCTGGTATTCCCATTGCTGAAATGCTCTCACATCAAAATACTTCCTTCAGCTTTTCATCACACACAATCATCACTGAATTTCCAGGATCCTATCATTCAAAAAAACCAAATCAACTACACTTCATCCCTTTTTAAGACTATTATTGTTACTTATTCTTCTGTTATCATATTTTCAGACATGCCAACAATCAATTAAATTATTACAATAATAGCCGATGAATATGTCGATAAAAAAAAGTGTAATAATCATCTGGTAATAATCAAATTAACAAATATATTACTAAGATTTCTTGATAAAAATCACCTATTTCATGTCAATAGGACGTTACCTGTATGTATGAACAACATTCAATAAGATTAACAAGTATATTACTAAATGATTTTGGCATTCAAAATCATTATATGATAACTTTCAAACTTGTAATTTATCAAAACATTATCAATATAAGACTTAAATAAAGGGAAAAAACAAAAAGATCAAACATACTTACCAAAAAAAAGTCATCTGCAGTTGGATGAGCTAAATAAAATCTCCAAGATACAGAGACTTCAAATCGCCTCTTTCAGTTCAAGACAACATTCCCTGTACTACTGTAGAACAAAAATTCATAAAATTGGATAATCATGGCAATTGATAACATTAACAATAATAAATATTACTAGATTTCCATATGAAGGATACTGATTGTTTTAAATCCGAGTACCTGATTCTTAACATCATTGGTGACTGCACTATATCCTCTCTAATTGAAATTATACGGGGAAACGTTCGTCGGAAGGATCGGAGCCTCGCTAACGTTGGCATGGAACCTGATATTACATCCAGATCTCAATCCAATATGCTTTCGTAATTCAGATGCATTCATCTTGGAAAATCAAATGATGTCGTGTACAAGCTGACAAATCAAACTTTTGGTGATTCTTTGACCGTCGGAAGTTAGTTTTGAAGTCATGCTCCTCCGTGTTCAAACGACTGGTCTCCGTCTTCGACCACCTCACCGACGAAGACGTCATCTCCGACGACTACGAGGCGATTAGACGACAGCAGTAGAGATGAGAGAGAGAGAGAGAGAGATAGAGAGAGAGGAGAGAGAGAGGGGTCTGAATTATTTATTTACTAAAATGCCCCTGATTCATAATAATTAAGATGCCCCCGTCTATTTTTTTTTCAAACTATTTATAAAAACGCCACCGAGCATCCTAGCCTTTTATTATTTTGATCTAACGGCCCACAATTGGTTCTCGGGTTCTCGAGAAACTTTAAGTTCTCAAAAGATCCTCCCTCTCTCTCTCTCTCTCTATATATATATATATATATATATATATATAATATATATATATATATATATACTAGTTTATAACCCGTGAGAACTACGGTTATAAAATTAATTAAAATTTCATATTAAAAAATCAAAATTATTAAGCAATTATTTTAAATAAATTATTACTTAAGAGATATTTCTTTAGTTATATAAAATTATAATCGTTGATTTAAATAAATACGTGAAGTTATATCGCCTTATAATCTGTATTAAATTTATTTTATTTTTCAATGTAATGTTATTAATTTAATATAATTAGAGTGAGAAAATTTAAAATACGAAATTTAAAATGAAGAATCAACTATTAATTGAATGTAATTAGAGTTAGAAAATTTGAAATTTGAAATGGATAATCAATTATCATACATACTTATAAAGCTAGCATTTTTCCTTGAACCTCATGCATTTGAAACCCCCATAAAATTTTGCAAACACCTCATGCATTTGAAACCTCCTATTTTAATGAATACCACTCAAAAGTCTCTTAATAATGATTAACAATTCAATGGTTTTATAACTTATATAATATATTTAATAAACAGTTAATGGATACTCTGCTTTAAAAATATCAATCTTTTTGAGTAGACACACAAATACAAATCACATACAAAATTCACAAAGAAAACAAGTTTAAAGTTTTTTTGTGTTGGTTTGAGGGCTTTGAACAATTTTTCGAGTCATGTTATTATGTTGAAGTTTTTAATTTGTAAGTTTGTTATATACTAATTATTTTTTGTATTTTCTTGATTTAAGTATTCTTTTAAGAATATCATTGTATGTTGTGGTTGAAATTTTAATGTAAATTAGATTAGATTCATGTTATCGATCATATGTTATTGAAGGTGATATATATAATATTTAATGAACTATTATATACATGTTTGTATGTTCATGTTGCTTCAAAACAATAATTAATTAAAAATCATGGATATGTCATATTATCCATGTAAGCCTTTTTTAAAGAGCAAATTGTCTATCTTATCACTTTATATTTTAGTATATGTTTAACATTTTAATTATAATAATAAGTGCTTTTTAAAAGTTTCTTTCACTTATTAATAATAACAAGTGGTTTTAAAATTAATAAGCAATAATTATAAATAATAAAATCAAATTACATGGATATGTCATCTTATCCATGCAAGTCTCTTTTGAAATGCAAATTGTTCATCTTATCACTTTATTATTTAGTATATGTTTCACATTTTAATAATAATATTAAGTGTTTCTTAAAAGTCTTCTTTAACTTATTATTAATAATAAGTTGTTTAAAATTAATGAATAACAATTAAAAATATAATTAATCAATAATAATAATTGTTAAAAATAATACTTAATATTATATTTAATTCTATTAATGAGGAATGTGGGTTGATGTCAATGAATATTATTGTTCAAAATAATTGAGATTATATATATATATATATATATATATATATATATATATATATATATATATATATATAAATTAGTGTAAAAATATTATCTCAAAGTTAATGTCAATAACCATAACCATTTTAAACATATATTTTTCAATATTTTAACAATATATTTTTAATCTTCGCCGCGCAACGCGCGAGAATTCGTCTAGTTAATTTAATGTAATTAGAGTGAAATTTAAAATTTGAAATTTGAAATGGCTAATTAATGGGTTGAGAAGTGGCTTGATAGATGATATATAACATTAATAAGAAGTTCTAATTATATGACACTTGTCAATAGGAGATTAAACCTATTCTTTTATTAGAATAGCAAGATATATATATATATATATATATATATATATATATATATATTATATATATATATATATAATATATATATATATATCGTGGATAATACTCAAAGTATGTTGATAAATGATTTTTAATTTGTATTGTACGTTGTGTCACTAAAAACCTAGCTCTTTTTTTAAATATAGTTATATAGAAAGCAAACAAATAGCGTACAAATACATCATCTTGTTGCAGAACGAGGAGGCAAACAAACAACTTACGGGGATTAATGTCCATATAGTCTTCGTACGAATTAGCATGTACAAAAGATTTGTACCGTCATTTGCAGAGGATATTCAATGACCATGCTTTTGCATCTTAAGATGTGATCAAGGTAACACTGAGAAAACATGCGTTGAAAATTTTCATGTTTTTTTTAAGTTTAGTACGTAACAGTTCGTTCTCTAGTAAATAGACGGAGAAACATGTGTATATAGTAGCTCCCTAGTGTTACAACCTCTAATTAATTTAGTTTTTTTATAACCTATTTGCCTGGTTTATTATATTTTTTTGAGCATTGTAATATAATAGGTGTTCTCTAATATCTTATCAAATTTTAACGAGGTTTGCTAAGTATATATTCATTCTCTGGTATGTTAAGAATATAAATTGATTATGGCAAAGTCATGAGGAATATTTTAACAAACAAAACAGATATTATAATAAACATGGTGAAAACAACTATATAATTGCTAAAACAATCATAAAGTAACATTTACATAGTTATGTTGTTTCACACTTCAAACTAATGTTTAAGGTCCATTTTTCCACTCTAAATACATTTCTTTAAGTTCCTTCTTCCAACATTTAATCTTCCAACTTTATATTATGAATTATGTTCTTATTTTTCAACTCCAACTCTATTTTCTTCGGTTATAACCGTGTGTCTTTCATCTCGGTGTGCACTCTAAGAAACAAATCTTTCGATATTTTAAAAGTTAGTTCATAATATGTTTATATTAAACATTTGTAGCCTTTATTTTGTTCCTATAAAAAATCAACATAACATATGAGTCCATTACACTTCATTTCCTATAAAAGATATTTGTTACATATACCCTGAAACTAGGACATAAAAAAAACCTTCTACCCGGATCAAGGGAATCCATAAGGTAAATAATGGAGCTCCGACATCACGACGACACATTTGGATTCCAACAACTCATATGAAACACTTTCTCGATCATTAGTTTGATAAAGAAGATGAATAGATACACACAAATATATATGGAATCCAATCTTATTTAAAAAAAAGTTATTCACCAAAATATATATATATATATATATATATATATATATATATATATATGAATTTAGGTGATAGAAGTGATTAATAATAATGTTAAGTGTACATGTACCCTAGATCTAAGTTTAACTATTATGACAACCTATTTTCAAAACTATGATTATAAACTAACAAGACGGATAAAATTACTAAAATTTCAAGTATAATCATATATACTTGTGATTCCTTGAAGACCTGTTGGATTAATGTGTCTAAGGTCCTAACTAAATTGGTATAATATTGAAAAATAAAAAAGAAGTCATTTTTAGGTTGCCCTCATAACCAAGAAATGGCTTGGATTGATTGTAGGAGAGAGATATATGATTTGTTAATATATTATATGATTAATATATTAATTATAAATAGTAATAATTAATTAATAATTAATCAGAATTAATTTGGAGTTAAATTTGGGTTAATTAGAATTAATTAAAGGTTACAAGGACTAAGTTGTAATTGTTCAATAGTTAAACAAGAAAATGAGGCTTGTTGGTCCCAAACCCTTTGTAGATTCGTAGATTGGATACAAAGAATAAAGAACAATGAATAACACATAAGTATCACAAAGATATCTTTCACCAAGAAAGAAGTTGTTTTCACTAAGAAAACGGGTTGTCGCAAAGATGGTCACCAAGACACACTTAGGATTTTACCCTAATACATAAATATATACTAATCTATTCTAGAGAATCCCTTCAATCAAGGGATTGTATCTAATCTACATATAAACAAATCTGGTATAAAAGGAATATATCAAATCAGATCTTCTCTAGATACGAATATTAGCACCAACACATCAGACGCTGATCTGAGCATCAACTTCAGGGAGTTTCGTTGATCAGGGCATCAACGTCAGCGTCTGGGAGATCAGTTTCAGCTTCAGCTTCAGCAGATAGTACTATCAACGTATCACCTGATCAGTGTGTCATCATTGTATAACCATAAGTGTCTAGACACACTGATCAATCTTCAGTAAATGGTGTATTCATGCCTTTGGTACTGATAGAGTCTTCAGGGTCTTTCAGTCATCAGGGGATGCTTTTCAGTCTTCAGCATATGAACTTCCATCAGCATATCTTCATATTAAATATAACTATAACTATAGTGTATATATTTTGCATCATCAAATATATACAATTGAGTGACCCAACAATATCCCCTATTTGATGATGTCAAAACCAAACTAATGAAGAATGAACTAATAACTACATCTGAAGTAGAATGTTGATATCTGCTTCCCCTTAGATTTAGCTCCCCTTGGATAAATAACATTTGAGTATTGCTCCCCCTTAGATGTATAATCTTCTTATTTCAATAGTGTCTGCTTTTCAATGAATGATTAAGTAACAATGTAGTAGAACTAAACTTTTATCCCCCTTTTTGACAGCATCAATAGGTACCGCCTTCTTTTTTTTAAGAAGACAACATGAAACCTTAAATGAAAATAAAAACCAAACAAAGTCAAAGGCTAGGAGGGAATTTGGTGTATCACACTATTGTGTTGTTGCAATAGTAGATCATTTACATAGAATTGAAAAGTCTCATCAACGTATGGTTTAATACGTTGAATTATTTACTACTTCTATTAGAAGAAAAAAAGGTGAGAGTGGGTAGGTGCGTGCAATACATCCC